ACTCGGAAACGGTTGGTTTGAAGTACATTGTGTGTATTTTGATTTTTGTTTAGAATTAAAGGAAGAATTGAAATATGTAATAACATACAGGGGGTTCTATTTAAAAAAATGAAACTTTGATGTGTCACGACTTTATGAACAACCCGGTATTTCTAAATTTATTACTCGTTAATAGATATTTAAAAATCCTATAACTTTTGTATTTAACTTTTTGCGGTACCTCCTATATTTTAACTAATAATCGACCGTTTCCATACATAAAAGTGACCCTGTATAGCAAATTATACATGAAATTTAACGACGGTAATTATATTATAACGTGCATTGATGTTATCCTTAGCAACCAAACACAACTTCTAACAACAGTTCTAAAAATAGACAGAGCAATAAATAAGTAAAATAATAATAATAATTTACAATATAAATATTTTAAGTTAAAATTAATTAAAATGATGTTTTGTAACAACAACGGACTAAAAATCGAAATATTTTATGAATTGAAAAACACGTTTTATCAATTCGTCTGACAACCAAAAAAAAATATAAATCCTTTTGCATGATAGTCAGAGAATAAAAATCAATTTTATTTAATTTCCTGGATATTTTTTTGAAAAGAAATCCGATCCAATTTATAAACTGCTTCCAAATAAAACTAATTTTTCAACGAGCGGGACTTGAACGGAATAAATAATGGGACATCTGTGCCAGTAAAGTGATGGCAGTGCGCTTTTTAATGAATATAAAATAAAAAGCCATGTTTCAGAGGGAAAAATCATGAAAGGCATCGCAGTCAAGTTATTATGCTACCGGTAATCTGCAGCGCACGAGCCACCGTAAATTTTTAAACAGATTGAAATTGCACTCGTGTAAATTTTATATTTATCGATGCGGTTTAATTTGTATATTTTTTAACCCAGATTTGTTTGACATTTTCTCTATTCTGCACTGAAAATCTAAAGATTTAGTTGCATACGAAGATATTTTTTTTTCTATAGGCTTGGGGTATTTTAGTTGATTTCAAAAAAGTCCGACCGCAGCGCTGTATACAGTAGAAATCAGAAATTTTAACTATGTATTTCACGCCGTCCCGGTTACAGTTCATGTTGATCGTATTAAAATAATATTAAAATCGTGACTTTGTCATAATATTTAATTATTTTAGTTTTTTGCTAGTGCAGTTACTGAAACTATAAAACACTTAGGTATGAGTTTTGTGTGATGTAACGCTGTTTCGGGTAGTAAAAAATAAGTGAAAAAGAGTCTGAACTAGGCGTCGTGACAATTTCAAATGTTAATAAAATTGCCGAAAAAATGTTAACGCAACGCGTAAGAGAGAGCGTAATTAGGGCGTTTTTGGGTGCAATAACATTCAATAACTCAACATTTCCGGATATTCAGCTCTTCCGAAACAACATTTTATAGCTTCATAGTTTCTCACACTGATTTGATCAAAAGCAAAAATAGATTCAAGCAGTTCGACAAAACAAGTGGGTAAACAATGTGTCCGTTACTATACATAATCACGAAATTTAAAAGATATACAGGGTGGTCCGAACTGTTTTCCGGAAACTTCGGCAGCATATTTGCAAATAAAAATAAGTAAAAAAAAATAAGTATAAATGTATATCCTAAAATGCTTAGTTTCGGAGATACAGGGTGTAGAAGTTTCATTTATATTTCGATTTTTTTCAAATAATTTCTGAAGTAACCTCAATATTCGGATGAAAAATGGTGCCTGGGAATTTTTTTGACATGAGAAATTTGATTTTTATGTCAATATAACTTCTATTAGTAGGGGGCGTCACCCATATGTGTTTTAACTCTTTCGAAGATTGGACGAAAAGTTATTAATCTTCAAACCCCCAGATATTAATCTTCAAACTCCCAGACACCAATTTTCATCCAAATATTGACGTTACTTCATAAATTATTTGGAAAAAATCGAAATAAAAATGAAACTTCTACACTCTGTATCTCCCAAACTAAGCAATTTGGGATATATATTTATACGAACTTTTTTACTTATTTTATCCGCAGAATATACTGCCGAAGTTTCCGGAATACAATTCGAACCACCCTGTATATCTACCTACTATGAGAGGATAAAATTTACCTAATTTGCAGTATTAATGGTATACTTTTTTAATCAACTAGTATTACAACAGTAGAACTACTACACAGAAACCAATATCCACTACGTAAAAATAAAAAAAAATGTGTGAGGTTTATTTCATTTAAAAAACTGTATATTTATACAAAAAGAAAAGTGTATTTAAACTCTTCACGGCGCTGAAACTGATCTTTCAAGGAGCCATGCTTGCACAGAATAATAATCGGAACTTCGCCGGGGAAATGGAGCGAGTGCTCTTTTTTAATGAATACGAAATAAAAGGCGTAAAATGTCAGAGGAGAAAGATTCATAAAAGAAATGGCAGGCAAGTGATACTGCTCGTAATTTCTAGTACACTCAAAGAGAAAGCGTAAATTTTTAAAGAGATTAAGATGGAAATCCTGTAAATCTAATATACATATATCAGTTGTTCTTTACCGACATTTAGATGTATAATATTTATTTAATATATTAATATCAATAATAATAATATTGATATTAATATATTATATATTTTTTTTTGTTTCATTTCTTTTACCTGGTATACTATATATTTTTTTCTTTTTATTCTTGGCTTAAGATCGTTGGGGTTGCAAAGATGTTACTGGGTTCTGTTCATTATTTTATTTTTATGACGACGTTTCGACAGTATATGTCTTTTTAAGTCTCTTGAACGTAGATTCCTACAGAATTAAAATTGTTAAAAACTGGACAAAAAACACAATAACACATGTTAAAACTATTATTTTAATTGTTTTGGGGACATCACACTTTAGTATAGAGCACGTATTTTCTAGCAGACCGTTTTAAATAAAACATATTCATCGTTTCAATAGCCGATGTCTACTTAGTAAGTATTTAGTAAGTGGACATCGGCAAAAAAAATAAACAAAACAATTATAATAGTTTTAATATGTGTTATTGTGCTTTTGTCCAGTTTTTAACAATTATAATTCTGTAGGAATCTATGTTCAAGAGACTTGAAAAAGACATATACTGTCGAAAAGTCGTGCGTCGTCTTAAAAATAAAATAATGAACAAAACCTAGTAAATCTTTACAACCCCAACGACCTAAAAGCCAAGAATAAAAAGAAAAAAATATATTATATTTTATTTTAAAAAAATAATCCCGATCCACTCACACCATCCTATAAAAGTTAAAATATTTTCCTGAAATATATCCTCGTACATACTACTTGCATTTAAAGAAAATTCTCAGGTTTTTATTCTAGGAGTTACAGATGCCCGACGCACTGTTGCCAGACCCTGTATATTTCAAATCAATAATTAATATATACATTCAGTTACACTGAAATTAAATATACAATGAGTTAATCCTTTTCTGATAATATAAAAAAATAGTTGTCATATGTGTTATGTTTGAACTATTATAAATTATGAAATAAAATATCTTCTTGGACTTACATTTTGTCTTTAATTCTATAATTTTACACAACGTTTCAGTCAGATGAATCACTGACCTTTATCATGTGTAAATTTTCCAAAACACCAGGAAAGTGGTTTGGAAACCAAGGCCAATCCTCAGAATTAGCAACAAGGTAATAAAAGAAGTATCGTCCGTAAAATATCTAAGAGTCCAAACTAAAATAATTTCGGATTTTCATTGTCTTTATTTATTTTTGATGAACACAACATTTTGTACAGAAGAATCGCTAACCGTTATCAAGTTGTAAACTAATATAATTCGTAAAACTACAGAGATTTTATACTACAGCCATTCACACGTGAAGAAGTTGGGTACAGTAAACCGTGAGGTTGTCTACTTAGAGTGCCTGCATTGGTGTGTTTTATCAGTAGTAGCCATATCGTAGATATTTCTGTACTAGGATTGCTAAAGATATTATATAACAGTATGAGAGTATATAGATATTATATACAGTTGTCGGAAGATCAGGTTGGTCAACAGGAAACCTCATTGACCTCATTGGAAAAAGCGTAAATTTAAAGAAGCCGTTTTTATAGCAAACAATAATTGTACACACTTTTGTTTGTTTTGTATAAATACACACCCTAAAATAATAGTATATTGTTTTATTAGGAGTACAAATGACACTTTTTGTGGCGAGGCTGTACGTTGACATACAGCCAAGTTTAATAATGTATTTTCGTACTTTTATGCTTAGGAGCAAAGATGCTTTACTTTTATGCCTAGGCGTTATAATGACTTTTTTCTACGACTAGCCTAGAAAATGCAGTTTGACACACGGAAAACTCGATCTGAAATTGGCGTTTTGCAAACTGTTGTGTGCTAAGGATTGGACACGACATCTGCCAATTTTAACATTTTTAACCTCCAATGTTTAGCTGAAACGCCAAACGCAACGCAGTCGTCAGAAAAGTGTCATCATTACATCGCAAATTATTTCACAAAACTGGCAAAAACTGAGTGAGTCTGGTGCTAATTTGTAGGCGGAGAAAAAATAGGGTAAAAAACTCATTCGAAAACTTCTTTGTACACTCGTTCGACTTGTGGCTCTTGCCTGCGGCTCGAGCCAACAAACTGTCGAACTCGTGTGCAAAACGTCGTTTTCAAAACTCGTTGTTTAATATACTATTTAATATTGTCAATCATGTCGCAAAAATTAATACTTTGTAACGTTTGAAAAAAAATATATTTTTTAAATAAATTAACTCTTAACTTTTTTTAAGAACAAAAAATAAAATAACTAAGTAATATTTTTTTTTCGTATTATTTTGTACCAAGTAAAATAGCAGACACATCAAGGACTTCACCAAGGATGTCGTCGTTGGAGAGGCTATATGGATACTTAAAAATTAGAACGCATGATTAACATTGACATTTTTAACTATTATTAAAAAACTCCGCATATGCACGATCGTTACAAATCTATAAAACCAATTAACTTACCCATCTGTGCGCTTTTCTCGTCCTAAACTCTATCAAGTGTCTGTACAGTTTCAGTATGATCGCTCCATAGCAAACGATGAATCCAATCTCCCTGATCCAGGGCTCCAGCAGACACTGGATAATAGATGGTTCGAATATTCTTATGACGACCTGTAAATAAAATTGAAGCCAGATCAATATTTAAGTGGAGCGCGAACGACGGCGGACAGAGAAAAAACAGTTTTTTACAGAGACGAGGGTACAGAATAAATTTTATCCACTCTCAATGACGGAAGTGGAAAGAAGAATAGGAGAGAGGTCGTGGAAAAAACACGTCCGGTCAATATTTGCGAACGGCTCTCATAATTATTGAGCGGTAGTGTAGTGGGTCGATTTATGGTAGAGGAAAAAAGAAGAGACAAGTGAGAAGCCTTAGTAGTTTGAGAAAATGTAACTATAATTTCAGGGATTGCAACAAATTCGTTATAGGCTTGATGAATTTTAGTTGATTTCAACAAATTCCGACCGCAGCGCTTCAACGGCAAATACCAGAAATTATCAGCACCTATTTTACGCCGCTGTCATGTAGATCGCATTAAAATAATACTGAAATCATGGTTTTGTCATAATATTTAAGTATTTTAGTTTTTCGTTACTGAAGGTATTGAGACTATAAAGGTTCGAGGTTTGTGTGATGTAACGCTGTTTCGGGTAGTAAAAATAAGTAAAAAAGAATTCGCATTAGGCGTCGTGTTGTGTTGTGACGAAAAAATGTTAACGCGTCAAGGAGAGCGTAATTAAGGCGTTGTTGGGTGCATTAGCATTCAATAACTCAACTTTCTCGAATATTTAACACTCCTAAAACAACATTTTATAGCTTCATAGATTCTCCCACCGATTTGATCAAAAGCAAAAATGGATTCAAGCAGTTTGACGAAACAAGTGAGTAAACAAAATGCTCGTTACATAATCAAAAAATGAAATAGACATATTTTCGAATAAAATCAAAATATAATTTGCAATCTTAATGGTATACTTTTTTTAATCAACTAGCTATTAAATGTTTTATAAACATCTTCTAAAATTATAATTATGTACCTTTAAAAAGTTTCATTATAGCCGAAATAGTCCCAATTATGCCCCACTAGCAAAACCGGTGATTAAAACTTTACTATCCTCGCTTCCGTATGACTGAATACTGTAGGTGTATTAAAAATAGTATTTTTACATTGAAAACTACGTCGATGTCGCAAATAACAAAGTAAAAACTTACAAATTTTTAAACTAAAGAAAAACTAAAAAAAGTTGACGTCAATAAATAGACATAATTTGCTAAAATTTTTCAATCTATAAAATTTGTTTTAGCAGTAGTAGGTACCAGTTATTAATCCTGAATTTTTTTTAAAAATTCGAAATTTTTTGAAAAATATCTTGGATTTTTGTTTAGTTTTTAGTTAAAAAACATAATTTCTTGATAATATGGCAACATAAGTATTAGATTAAATTTACAAGAAAGAAATTCCAGAAAAGATCCAGTGGTTCTCAAAATTTTAGCAAAAAAGATTTTTTTTCGAAATTTTCAAAGTAAAATAACTCCGTTATTTTGGACTTATTTGAAAAACGATAAAGAGAAAATATGTTTCTTTTATCGAGATCTACCAACTCTTAAAATACTTGCAATTATTTCTGGGACACCCTGTAGTGGGCTCTATTAAAATTTAACATAATACATATACATAAGTTTCAAAACATGCATTTTCCTCTTCATTTACCTCGACTTTTTCTATAAATATTTCATACCATTTTAGAGTAAAATTTAAAAACGAAATTTTTAATCCAATTATGTTTTAATAATAATTGTTTATAATATAGTAAATATAAAGTTTTCAATTATTTTAAAGGTTTTTTATGGTTGTAGGCAACGATCAATAAATACTGGTGCATATGCATTAAATTTTATAACTTATATTGGAAAAATTAAACTTTGTGTGCTTGCTTTTAATTAACCATTAATCGATAGTGTCTGTGTGCACTAAAGTTGGTAAATTAGAAAACTTTTGCTATATAAGCTATAGAGCTTATAAAGCATTCGAGAAATTTCTTGAGGGATAAAGTTTTAAATTTATATAAAGGCGCTATTACAATATTTTATTTTAATACATAACTGTCGACTATTATTATTAAAGACATTAATACGATTACCACATACTAAGTAAAAATCGACCTCTTTTATATTTCACAAATTTTAGTTAGTAGAATATTATATTAAATAGCTAATAAAATAGAATTTGGATTATTTCATAAATTCATTATTGATTAATATTTCGTATCTCATAAAAATGTCATATACTTACAGTATTATACAAAATAAAGACTCCTAGTAATATAGTTTCTAAAATGGTCCACATACCAGTCGCTATAGCCTGAAATTAAAAAAAAAGAATTATAAGTATTATATATTTTCATAATATAACTTGCTATGATATACGTTTTTTTATAATCATGAATCTTTGTTGCAAAAATTAAGATTGCTTAAATATACAATATTTTTGAATGTCATATCTTTAATTAGAGTTTTTGTGTAATTTTATATTGTTTTTATGAGGTCAATATATGAGAAGCGTACTATGAGGCCATAATACGAAAAGTACCGTATGATAAAAAAATGGAGTCAAAGACGGCTGGGGAATGACAGTCGATGATAATTTTAGCGAGGTCAATCTCTAGACGTCTTTTACTAAAAATTGACATAAAATTTGCCTAAAAATTAACACTAATTATAGAAAGATTTAAAAGGATAGAAAGTTTCCAGATACACAAATCTGTCTAAATATATAAAAATTATATTTTGTGAAATTTTAAAATACACCATTTAAACATAATTTTTACTCAATATAAAACTAAATTAAAACCTTTTTAACTCCAACTGGTAGTAAGCGTCATTAAAAAATAAACAAGAGTACGCTTCAATAAATGATGTCTAGGGCTTGGCCTCGTCAAAATTATACCAATAGTCATTCCCCAGCCGTCTTTGACGTCGGTTTTTATATGGTACTAATTTCAAATTGCAAAATAAAAATGAAAGAAGAAAATAGAAAGCAAAGTTCAAAATTTTCTTTTTTTGAAAATGTCTGTAATATTTTGCCACCATACTGAGAAAATTTGTCATAATTTTTAACCTTTGATACTGTCTAGTTTGAGATATTCCCTAAATCTATAGAGGACATGTTTTTAAAACACATATATAAACATCGTTAAAACTGTGAATGTAGTTCTACATTTTCAAATATCCCAACTTTTCTTTTGACATGAATGTAATTTTGGTAGGAAAAAATAAAAAAAAAATGTTGGCTCTACAACTGCCCTCTCCTATATAGGTCGAGTATATGAAAATGGTGTAAATAAGAATTTGGAGAATTTTAATTTAAATTTAATTTGAAAGGAAAAAATGCGACGTGAGACGTTTTTCGAATGCCAGCTAAAATAGGAAGAAAGAAATGGGTTTTAATATTAAAAAAAGGTTTTGGAATTTTGTGAAGTAAACTTGAATTTTTGTAGTTCAAGCATTTGCATTACTACGTATGATAAAAAATATTGCAGAGAATAAATGTTAAATTATTTCATACTGTATCATAAAACACACCGTTACATACGTGATTTCAACCCGAAAAACAAGATTTTACAGTAATAAGTCTGCTAAAAATTTTTTTATCGGACTGTTTTACTTAGAGTAATTTCGGGTAATATGGAATACCATTTTTATTTTCCTATATAAATTCAATAATAATGGATTTTATAATCTCAAATTTTAGAAATAAATAGTTAGTAGTATGGTTTAAAAGTGCCTCCTGTAAGAATTAGATATCTAGAAAGATTATGAAGTTACCAAGGAATACAGATAATGTGAATTTTTGTGTGGTCAAAAAATTGGCGGGTAATATGGAATAGGTTTGGGGGGTAATATGGGATAGGATAAATAATTATACAAAATGAACAGTAAACCTATACCACTAGTTGTTTTATGTACAAAATCGCACACAAATATTTCCGTCTCGGCATTTGTGGAAGCTTAGACAGAGAACAACTTAGACAATAATAATTAGAATAAGGAAGGTAATTCATTTTTACACTAGATAGATTTTGACTCGCCTGGCTCATTTTGTCACGCTTGGTTAGTACCAAAACAGAGTGTCTATATAACTGCTCTTATTGTATTTTAACTATTTGAACATTGATGGCGCATATTGTTTTCAAAATATAAGGTATTCCATATTACCCGAAATTACTCTACCGACTTACTGGAATTTTTCATACCGTCCTGATATTTTTTTGGTATCAACTACTCTGTAGCCTCGCTAAATTTATCCATAACTTCTTTCAGAATCAGATATTTAGTACTTATCATTTTATCAGCTTTTTAAAGTAAGTAAATTCCTTTAATAGATGACTTTTAACTGGCTCGGCTTTGATGTAGATAAAATTAGAACCGTTTTGTTACTTGGATATCCCCGTAAGTATATATTATGATCTAGCGATATCCCAAAGCATTCTGCAACACATGTCAGTACTGACGGTATTTCCACCAGTAAATAGAATAGTATCAAAAACATACATAAGTTGGTTAAAATATACTCAATAGTTATTTGAAAGCCATAAGTTTTATCCAAACAGTATAAAATAAAACATTGTACGTCATGCGGCTGCAGGTAATTTTTGAAGTATTCTTTCAAAATTTTATTTCATACCAAATTAAAAATAAAGTACAGTCTGTATCGTCATCTTATTGTCATTCACTAGTCGTCTTTGACGCCGTTTTTTTTTCGATGGTATGGTACTGAATTAGCTTTTTTTTCTACATCCTTTACTAATACTTTTTAATAAACTCACCTTAGTTTTTCTAAGTTTAAACACGACGACGGATAATACGAGAACAATTCCCATTCCGAACAGTTGTACACACAGAACAATTGTTTTCGTATAAAAGTCTTGACGCGCTATGCATTTTCCATTAGTTCCGCAACTTTCTCGGCAATTTTCCGGACAAGGCTGGCATCTGAAACAACAAATTCATTGAATGAAGAAAGAGGTAACCGCAAAAAAGTTTTCATTATTTGCGTATAAGTTTCTTTTCAATAACCATATTTAAAAAAACTTTTCATACATATTTTATTTATTTTTTTTAACACGTGCTTTTATTAACTTCACCTGAATGTATATACGAAGTGATCAACAATGATTGAATAGTTGGCTGTTCTGATTTTGCTCGTTTGGTTGGCAATTTTCGATAGATAATTTATTTTTCCCTATTTTTCCCAATATTGCGTGGACATAGAACTACTACGTATTTTTGGAATCAAAATAAGTTTATTGGACACAATTTACCTCTATACAAAAGTGCGTCGTTTGTCCGCTAGAGGGCACCAAACTTTAAAAAAATAAACACATTTTTTCAGATATTTTAAGAACTGTTATTCCGATTTGAATGATATTTTGGGTGTCTATGTATTTTGTTAAGTGCTTTAACAGTTTTTGACTTTCACAAAAATCAAGAAAAAGTACGGGAAGGGTTAAAACTACCAACATCCCTACATTAATTTTAGTATAAATATTTTCCAACTCCACAGACGACAGATTTTCTCTTCGTAAAATTGTCACTCTAGTATTTACTACATCTTTTGTCCCTTGTAAAAAAACGTCACATCGCATAGTTTATGAGAAAACATTTTTTTGGATAATTTATTTTTCTAAAGCAGACCTACAAAATATACAGGGAGTTTCAATATTCCAATTCATTTCAATATTCAAAAAACACGTAGTTGTGTTTTTTGAATCAAAATAAATTAATTGCACGTAATTTACTTATATACAAAAGTGCTCCGTCTGTCTGTTAGAGGGCATCAATCAAAAATAAACCCGAATGTTAATTAATGTGAAACTTATTATTTTTTTAAGTTTTTTTTATAAAGCTTATTGTCTAATATAATTTGTGATACTAACATACATTTCCATATTTTCGCTAACTAGATTATTAGAGCATAATAGATTTTATGCGCCTCGATAGCTTGACGTGACAAAAACATTTTCTGGTAGTCTACTATAAATACATTTTCTGGTAGTATACTAGAGGTATATTTTTTTCTTCAAAAATATGGCGTTTTTTTAATAATAATAATAATAGCTCCCGTATATAGCGTTTAACGCTTTGGGAGTAACCAGATACAGCTTGCCATGCTAGCCGGCTTGAGCCATTCGGTATACAAGGAAGGTAATGTGACTAGCACTACGCTCCAGCCGCCTACTATTACCTCAGGATTGTAAATCCCAAGTCTTCTTCTTCTTCATGTGCCTTCTCCTCATCGGAGGTTGGCGACCAATTGGAATTCCTCCCTGTCTTGAGCCAAACGGATAATTGCATTGGCCTCTGCTATATTAAACCACTGGAGCAAATTCCGTAACCAGGAGAACCGTTTACGCCTTATGCCTCGTCGTCCTTCAATTTTTCCCTCAACGATCAGCTGTAGGAAACTATATTTGTTATTCCTAAAAATATGACCAAAATATGCTGCTTTCCGTCGTTTTATTGTAGTCAATAGTTCTTGGTTCTTATTTATTCTTTCTAATACTTCAAGATTTGTTATTCGTTCGATCCAGGATATTTTCAACATTCGTAGGTACAACTACATCTCAAATGAATCTAAGCATGACATGGTCTGTGCCTTCAACGTTCATCTCTCGACTCCGTATAACAATGTAGACAGTACATAGCATTTGGTAGCTCGCCATCGAGTAGTCAGATTCAGGTCTCGGTTGCAGAGTAGAGTTTTCATTTTGAAATAAGTGTTTTTGGCTATTTCATTTCTATGTTTGATTTCTTCATCAGGATCCCATTTATCATTCAGCCAGCACCCCAAGTACTTAAATCTTCTTACCTTTTCTATATTTTGATCTTCTACTTGTATCCTGATATTTGCAATATTTACTTTGCTGATAATCATAAATTTTGTTTTGTTTATATTTATTTTAAGACCATGACTCTGACTAATACTACTAACTCTGTTCACGAGGCACTGCAAATCTTTCTCATTGCTAGCTAGGAGCACCGTATCGTCAGAGGTTTACCATTTATCTTTATTCCCACTTTTAAATCTTCCAACGCCTCCTGGAATATCGGAAACCCAAGTATTCATACGAAACCATTTTACGAAAAAAATTGGTCGTCCGTTAAGTTAGAAAATATTTATACTAAAATTTATGTTGGGGTGGGGATACTTTTTACCCTTCTCGTACTTTTTCTTGATTTTTGTGAAAGTGAAATGTTAAAGCACTTCGTTAAAGACAAAATCATAGATAAAATATCTGAAAAATGTATTTTTTTGAAGATCGATGCCCTCTAACGGACCAACGAGGCACTTTGGTATAGAAGTAAATTGTGTCCAATGAACTTATTTTGATTCCAAAAATACGTAGTAGTTCTATGTCCACGGAATATTGAAACACCCTGTATTTAATGTAACACCATTCAGTAATGGAAATAAAAAATCTTAAATTATTTTTAACATAACTTATTAATACAGGATATCCATTTTTTATCTGGTTCATTTTACTCTATTTTTTATTGTCGAAATTTTTGGTCTTTCTGTACCTGTTACCTTTTTTATCGTCAAATTATGTTTTGTTAAAAATAAGTTATTATTGGAAATATTGCCAATTTATTAAATTTTTTAGAGTTTATAAGCAAATTCGCTACGATAAATAATTAAAATAATAAGATAGTTACTTAGATTCCAAACTAATCAGAGTTTGTTTTATTTTTATTTAGATGTGCATAGATCGTTGGTAGTTCTTTATAAAATTAAAATTTTTTCAAAAACCTTTTTATTGTCGAATTAATATAATAATTTTAGGTTTGTTTAAAGTAATGTACCTATTATTGGAAATATTTTTTTATATTTCTTTTTGAATAATTAGGTACTATTTTTTGTCGAGTTTATAAAAATAATCGAAACGGCACAGCTTATTTTGAAGGACGATTTGTAAAAGATAAAAGGCGATTGAATTGGCCACTCCTCTCCAATCGGCACATATTCGATATCCGTTTGTCGAGTATAATGCCGAAGGGAAATTCGATTTAAATGCTAAGTGGAGGCCCTCCGCATCCCGCTGGAATTTTCCGCAACGATTTTCAAGTTCGGAAAACACACGGGAACAATATATCGTCGGTATGGCGCAAAAAGTCGCTGTCGGAAATATAATAAATTTTTGTTCATGTAAATTGTAAGTTTTGGGTTCGTTGAAGGACTATTAGAGCTACAATTTAAATATATTTTTACAAGTTACAGAGTGTCCCAAATAAATAACAAATATCAAAGTTGTATTTTTTTAAATGGAACACCCTGTATATTATTACATTTTTAGTTTCTACGATTAAAATAAAGGTAAATTTGATTAAGGTTTATTAGACTTAAACCTTACCGTTTTTGAAATATTTTCAATTTTGTGAAATTGCAGTATAAATTTTAAGGCTTCATTTCTCCGAGGGTATCAAAGTTTTTAATACTAAATATTTACTGAAGTTTATTTATTGATCAGTTATTGTGTTGCTGTAATAAAAATTTTACTACCTTATACAGAGTGTCTAAATATTTATTTTAAATAATTATTAGCTTTAAACCGCAATAACTTGTTTAATTTAAATGGAACACCCTGTATATTTTAAGAGAATCAGATGCACAATTTAATTGTCTATCAAATTGTATTATACCATTTTTTACCTATCTCTTCAATCTTCCGTAGAAAATGCATTTTCTTGTAATTTAGAACTCATTTATCAATATACCCATGGAATACTGACATTTTAGATTATTTTTAAAGATGTACCAAATTTTTAAAGAGCACAGATACTAATATTGTCAATATAGTTCGTTTATTTCATTAAAAAATAAAAAAACTATTTAAATATTTGTTAAAGAGGTCCAATTAATATGATTCCAGTATTCAAACTACATTAATTGACTGTTTGCGTTGATTAATGATAATTGCTCCAAATACTAAAAAACTGAATTATTTATGTGTATTAGACAGTGTGGTAAAAAAACACCTTAAAAATGATATTTCATTTTTTGACAAATTCTTATTTATAACAACAGAGACGTTCATTTTTATAACTTATTATTATATTGATTGCTGATTCAAATCCACATTTATTAAGAATAATTTATTAACGAACACAATTAAGTATGTAATTAATTAGTATTTGAGCGGAAATACCGGTGGTATATTTAATTAATGGTAGACTCTTTTATAAAGATTTAAATAGTTTTCTTTTTGCATACAAATGGGCTAGTAATATCATCGTTTTACTAAAAACGATAATATTACTAGCCTGTACATTTTGTACATTTGTTGTTTTAAAAACAATCTAAAATGTCAATATTCGACGGGTATATTGATAAATGAGGTCTAAATTATAAGAAAATGCATTTTCTACAAAAACTTGAAGGGATAGGTAAAAAGTGATATAATACAATTTGATAGACAATTAAATTATGCATCTGATTCTCATAAAATATACAGGATATTCCATTTAAATTAAACAAGTTATTGCCGTTTAAAGCTAGTAATTATTTAAAATAAATTTTTAGACACTCTGTATAAGATAGTATAATTTTTATTATTGCAACACAATAACTGGTCAATAAATAAACTTCAGTAAATATTTAGCATTAAAAACTTTGATACCCTCGGAGAAATGAAAAACCCTTAAAATTTATACTGCAATTTTACAAAATTGAAAATATTTCAAGAACGGTAATGTTTAAGTGTAATAAACCTTAATCAAATTTACATTTATTTTAATCGTAGAAACTAAAAATTCAATAATATACAGGGTGTTCCATTTAAAAAAATACAACTTTGATATTTTTTATTTATTTGGGACACTCTGTATCTTGTAAAAATATTTTGAAATTGTAGCTCTAATAGTCCTTCAACGAACCCAAAACTTACAATTTGTAAAAATCTAATCGTTTAGCTACAATACTCCGTGTCGTATGTGGTGAACAACCCTGTATATTAAAATAAAATACTGGCAGGCACAAAAATGGTTCACACACCTTAAAATTATCATGTGTAATTCAAGGATATTTTTAACGAAAACTTACAGGGGATTAACAAGCAGAATGAGTGTGAAGAAGCAGCTCACAATAGAACGGAATGGAGAAGAATTGTAAACTCAGTTAACAGCGACAACGAAAACCACCACGTATCGGGCTTTTCAGTCACAGAAAAGCTCATGAAAGAAAACGCCTTGCGTGACAGTCTTCTGATGCGTGTTAAATACTCGTCAGCGAGTAATGGCAGTATGTATGTATGTATGTGTAATTCAAGTTCAATGTAGTTGATCGTACTAATTGGCCGATTTTGATGATTTTTTTAGGCAATTTGTAGCTAAATTATGTGACTTTTTAGCCCCTTTTCAAGTTAAAAATTAAAGTACCCATCTGTCTACTGTACGAGGGAAAATAAAATGTTGTAATTTTGGCAAAAAATTAAAACATCCTCTGGCATGGTTTAACAAAGTAAGTAAATTAAAAAGGTTTTTGCCATCAAGGTACAGGGTGGTCGAGATTGGTCTGTTTTAACAGAGAAACCCTATTTCCTGACTAGATAGAGCAAAACCGACATAGATCTCATGGGTTCGATTTCTGAGACACATATCAATGGCGTAAACCGCCTGTTGATATTTTCACTGCCAACTTGGATACGGGGTCTTTTTGAATTTTTTACCATTTGAAAAATTGCCCGTAACTTTTTTATTTCGCGGAATAATATAATTCTGTAAAAACGTTCCTAAGGCATTTTTTTAAGCACAATCCAGTGGCGTAGTCAGTTTTTTTATGCTTGCTCTTTTTATCAGAAGTAATGAAAAATATAATTTTTTAAATGAAAATCATAGTTGACTATGAACTTTAAAAAATGCTGGCCTTTAACCCTTTCCAACAGTATGAAGTTATGGGTATCTATTTCTAAGAATGAGAGAAATATTAGGTTTTTTTTATCTTTATATCGAAGCGGGCCTTGATTTTGTGTTGGCCTATTTGCCGAATAATTTTTTTATCACAATTTAATATTCTATATTATTATTTATCTGCATAATTAAAGACTTTTGAGAAGGTAAATTAACATTCTCTATTAGTATTAGTAATTATAATAATTGAAATCTATATAATAAACAAAGAACAAAACTAAAAAGTATTTTTTGAGTGACGAATACAGTTTTCTAAAAAAAAATTATTGAAATCATCAAGAGTTACAACGTTTTATTAGGCGAACTGGTGTAATAAGTCCAAAAGCTTGCCTAATAGCCTTCTGTAATTCTTCTCCCGGTTCTTCCCTTATATATAAGGTCTTTTAATTTCCCCCATAAAAAAGTCGAAAGGAGTTAAACGAGTTAAATCACAGAATCTAGCAGACCAAGATGTCGATTGTTCCAATCCAATTCTCTCTAAATTCTACATTTAATACTTCAGTTGTAACCCTGGCGTTTTAATTGTAATTGGTAATACTAATACAGAATGTTGATTTACCGTCTCAAAAATCTTTAATTATACAGATAAATAATAATATAGAATATTAAATTGTGATGAAAAAATAATTAGGCAACTAGGCCAACATAAAATCAAGGCCCGCTTTGATACAAAGATAAAAAACCTAATATTTCTCTCATTCTTAGAAATACTTACACATAACTTTATATCGTTGGAAAGGGCTAAACGCCAGCATTTTTTTAAGTTCATGGCCAATTATTTCTATTTAAAAAATTATATTTTTTATTATTTCTTACAAAAAGAGCAAGTATAGAAAAAAACTGACTACGCCACTGGATTGTGCATAAAAAAGTGCCTTAAGAACGTTTTTACAGAATTTTATTATTTTATATATTGGTCACACACTTAGTATTTCGAGTAGAATTATCGTTATGAATCGCATGTTGCAATTTTAAATAAACCATGCATATTCAAAAAGGTCAAAAGTTGATATATGATATGTAATTCTGTTCAGAGTGTCATTTTCTATCCAAAAAAGTAACAAAAGTGATCGAATTGAATTTGTTAATCAATCCTAATTTATGCCATATACTAACATACCAAATCTCGATTTTTATCTGAAAAAATAAAAAAAAGTTATAGAGGTGAGCCACTTTTGAGACGCACTCGGTATAACCACACATATCGTCGCCTTCTACACAAAGTATCGTAGCTAACATTTTGAAAGTTTTACAGTAGAGCGATACATACATTAAAAATGGCATTACAACTGTAACAAATATTAGAACCCATTCGGACAACAACATCTGTCATCAGGTCGAAAGTCGCCGATACTGAAATTATAAATGTCTATAAGCCTTCAGCACAACCATGGATAAATGACTATATACAAAATATCGAACATCCGGGATTAGTTAGAGGCGACTTTAACAGCCATAATATAAAATGGGGCTATAGAGCTACAAATGATGATGGGGCCAGAGTTTCTGATTGGGCTGAAACAGAAAACCTTTTCTTACTTTTTGACGCCAAGGATAAAGGAACCTTTCACTCGGCCAGATGGGCACAAGATTACAACCCTGATCTTTGTTTTACTACTCTCGACAGCAAAGGACTGGCGCTACATAGTAGTAGGAAAGTACTGAGCGGATTTCCTAGGAGTCAACACAGACCGGTCCTGATAAATATTGGCCTCCAAATCCCCATACTGAGATCCATACCAAAACCGCGATGGAACTTTCAAAAAGCCAATTGGGAGGAGTTTTCCGAAGAATTGGATTTTAATATCCAATGGATCCGTCCGGAGCCAGCCTCCTATGAGCGTTTTGTTGGACTTATCCATTTTATTGCCAAAAAGCATGTCCCAAGAGGCTTTAGGAAGGATTATATGCCTGGATGGAGCCCAAAATGCTAAGAACTATATGACGACTTTCAGTCGACACAGGATTCTGGCAGACGAACTGATCTTGGCCTTGGATTCGGCCAGGAAAGAGAAATGGTGCACTTTAACAGAAAATATGAATTTTCAACATTCGGGTAAAAAAGCTTGGAATCTGTTAAGAAAATTAGGAAGTAGCATACGAACCAACAACATCGAGTCGAAAATAAACCCTAACAAAATAGCAGCCAGAATTGTCAACCGAAATGCTACAAGCGCAGCCATCCGAACTTTCAAGAGAGATCTGTTCAGAAGAAATTCTTAGCCATACGTGATATATGATATAGTAGAGCGAAAGAAAGTCTCCAGCCTAAACAGAAACCTTTGCTCGATGACGCCTCAACGTATTACGTCACAGCCGTTAGGCCTTCTGTTCAAGACGGCATCGCTCTTTCTTAATCAGTGACGTAGGGAATGTTCTTACCCTGTGGCAACGACCGTGCCAGCTTCCAAATCTCTTCCGCTGATCCCCCGCCAGGTGCCATTGGCGGTGGTGGCTCCCGGATGATAAAAACCGTTGCGGCACACGCATCGATAGCTGCCTCTTTTTTCGCTGCTGCCATTCTTATCGTCGCCCACGCACTGAAAAAAGGAAGAATAAAAAATTATATCGATTCCTTTTTACGCTATCCCGAATTAGTTCATGTGGGATGTGTTTTTGTGAGACGTGTTTTCATAAATTGGTAGAGCAAATTCGGGTAATATGAAATCCCCTATAATTTGAAAAAAATTAAAATGTTGTTTTATATTAAATAATTACTAGCTTTAAACGGCAATAACTTGTTTAACTTAAATGGAACACCCTGTATGTTTTACATGAGTCAGAAGCACAATTTAATTGTCTATTAAACTGTATTATACCATGTTTACCTATATTTCCAAGTTTTCGTAGAAAATGCATTTTCTTATAATTTAGACCTCATTTATCACTATACCCATGGAATATTGAAATTTTAGATTTTTTTTAAAGCATACATATGTACAAAATGTACCAGGCCATTTGCACGTCCGTTTGTTTACAAAAAAAAACTATTTAAATCTTTGTAACAGAGTATACCACCATTATTTCCGCCAAAAAATTAGTTAATTACATACTTAATTGTTTTAATTAATAAATTATTCTAAATAAATGTGGATTTGAATCTGAAATCGGTATAATAATAAGTTATGAAAATGAACGCCTCTGTTGTGAAAAATATGCATTTGTCAAAAAATGAAATAAAATATATAAGGTGTTACTTTTTACCACACTGTCTAATACACATACAAAAGTGCAGTTTTTTTTATTTTCTAATGAAATAAGCGAATATATCGACAATATTAGTATCTGTACTCATTGAAAATTTGTTACATCTTTAATAATAATCTAAAATGTCAATATTCTATATGTCAATATGGGTATATGGATAATTGAGGTCTTCATTTTAAGAAAATGCATTTTCTACAAAATTGAAGTATTAGGTATAAATGGCAACACAAGAAGTACTGAAACATATAATTTCGTATATCATGTAAGCTTACAAGTACACGGACGGATCCAAAAACGATAAAGGATCTGGCACAGGAATTTACTGCAGCAGTCCAAAAACGGAGATCTACCACAGTCTTGGAAAATACACCACAATTTTCTAAGCTTAGCTATATGCTATTGAAACATGTGTGCAACTGCTGGTAGAACAGCAATACACAGGGAAAACAATAAGCATATTTTCGGATAGTCAAGCCGCCTTGAATCAAATGCTTTCAAGGCGGCTTGACTATCCGAAAATATGCTTATTGTTGTATTGAGGGTGCCATTTAAAAATCCAAAGTTGTAGTAATTTCCGGTGAAACCGGAAGTGACCGAAAACAATTGATACCATTATCAATCAATCAATATACCATTGTCAATCAATCCAGATTTATGCCATAGACTAACATACCAAATCTCGTTGTTTTATCTGAAAAAATAAAAAAGTTATAGGGGTGAACCACTTTTGAGACGCACCCGGTATACAAGCCACTGTCGGCTGAGATCACACCTACAGAGGATGGGAATGGTAGTGACGCCGAATTCTGACTCTGTATGAAAGATGACGAAACAATGAAGGCACGTTATATGTACCTGCCCCGCTGGGGGTAGGACCAGGTTTCAGGTGTTTGGCAAACCCACGCTAGACCTATCAGACCTAGGAAAAATATCACCCTGGGACATAACGGCCTATGTTAAAAGGCTGGGTCTTGAGGGTGAACTTTAATGCTCTTTTGCTGTTAAAGAGCTTGTAGAAACTGCGCCACAATAGGCCCTCGCGGCCGAAGTGGAGGGTCCCACCTGGGACCCATTCTTAGTCAATACAAAGCTTACAAGTCGTGCTGTTGTACTTAAGTCATTTTATTTAATAACAATCATAACAAACACTGGCACAAGAGTATGACAAGATACGCACAACGCTGTTTACATCAATACTAGAAGAAATCTTCCGTCAACTAGACTCGACCAACAAAGGATTGAAAATAGATGGAGAATATTTTAACCATCTAAGATTTAATGATGATATAGTCCTAATTGTCAATAGTCCTGAGGAACTACAAACACAAACCAACATACTCAAAATGAAAAGGCATTCTAATTAATAACACAACACTGGAAATAGTAGAAAAATTAATTATATTTGAGGCAACTAATACAACATATCATGATCTCTATTACAGAAATCGACAGAAGAATGAAGTTAGCCTAAAGTACATATGGGAGAGACTCAATCGTATTCAAATCTAGAATACCACTTTATCTAAAGGAGAAAACATTTGACCAATGTGTACTACCAGCCATGACCTATGCATTCGAAACCTGGACACTTAAAACGGACATTATAAGGAAACTGCAGGTCGCTCAACGCTGAATGGAACGAAATATGCTGGGAATAACCAAAAAAGACCGTAAAAGAATAGAGTGGATACGACAAAAGTCCCAGGTAATAGATGTCATCCACAAAATCAAATCCCTTAAATGGCAATGGACAGGACACCTGGCAAGAAGAACGGACAACAGATGGACCACAATAATTAGAGCATGGTACCCATGAAGAATTAAGAGACCTAGAGGAAGACCAAACCTGAAATGGAACCATGATATTAGGAAATTAGCAGGGATAACTTGGGCCCGCATAGCCAACAATGGGCCCAACTAAAGTATCTAAATATGTGAGGAAGGCTACACCATAATTTAAAATGGTTGAATAAGCTGAAAATGATGATCCTTATCCAGTTTATCTCCATGTTAATCTCATCCTCGCCTTCCAGCCAGATAATACAAACATATATGAAATTAAAAAAAAACTTTCATGAAAGTTTATATTGAAGTGTCTGTACATAATCCTGTCACTTCGGCTAATTGTCGCTAAAAGTTAAAATAAATTCAACGCGTTTTAATTGCGTATTTTTTCAGTCACGATCAGCCAGATGTTCTAAAATCCTATTTATATCCTTACACATTAAACATTTCATCGCATATACATATAATGGTTAACAGCTAAAAAAGAGAGGACCTAAAACATCTGGACCATTTTCAAAAAGCCTCAACGCTCATTTCGCTAAAGTAAGAGAATAATAG